CCCCCCCCTTGGTCCCTAGTGCTTCCTGGCCCATTTCCCCAACTGGATTCTAAACAGCTACCCAACCCCCATGGAATCACAGCCCTCCAAGGAGGGGGCTTTGGGTATGTAGGGGCATTTGATCCCATCAGGGGGAGGTTCAGGAAGGTGGTTTCTTTCAGGTGGTTCTAGTGTATGGGCATGCACACAATTCAGTACTACATACAGCACCCACCAACAAGCACTCTTTTGCACACAACACACAGCCCCCCAAACAGCTACCCAACCCCCATGGAATCACAGCCCTCCAAGGAGGGGGCTTTGGGTATGTAGGGGCATTTGATCCCATCAGGGGGAGGTTCAGGAAGGTGGTTTCTTTCAGGTGGTTCTAGTGTATGGGCATGCACACAATTCAGTACTACATACAGCACCCACCAACAAGCACTCTTTTGCACACAACACACAGCCCCCCAACATGCACAATAGCGTAACTACACACAGTAACCTGCCAACAGGCACCTTCTCCCCCACAAAAGCGGTGAGGAGTCCTGTGGCACCTTATAGACTAACTGAAGTGTAGGAGCATAAGCTTTCGTGGGCAAAGACCCACTTCGTCAGATGCAGGTCTGATTCAGTTAGTCTATAAGGTGCCCCAGGACTCCTCGTCGCTTTTGCAGATTCAGACTAACACGGCTACCCCTCTGATACTTCTCCCCCACACAACACCATAACTACACACAGACTCGCCAACATGCACCCTTGGGGGCACAACACTGCAATACAGCCACCTGCCAACTAATACAGCAACCCTGCAATGTGCACACAGCACTAATACAGCAATCTGCCTCTCCAGTACTCAACACCGTGACTGTACCCAGCCAGCTACACTGTGCACCCACTCACGTGCAGTGCACCTCCACCCAGCCACCTGCCAATGGACACATTCTCGCACATGCAATGCTGTGCCCCACATCAACGCAACAGCCCCACCCCACCACTTGGCCCTATACCCCACACTCTACTCCCAACCCTACGCACAGCAAGGTTTCTGTATCCCCCCTGCTAGTTGTATTTAATTTATTTCAAAGCTGGCCAGGCAGGTTTGGATGGACACCCCCCAAGCAGGGCTTGCCTCCCCCACCGTACCCTCCCCAAATTCCCCACTTGTGTGCTCAGCTGCACTTCAGTGGGGAGTCAGCTGGGAGGAGTCATTTTCAGCTCCTTCAGAGGGGCAGTCCATTCAGCTGCTGGGCTACAAGGAATCTGTGGGGCACAGGGGCAGTTTGGGGGGAGAGTGGGGAGAGGAGCCAGGTGTGGGGCAGGGGGATAATGGGAGAGGAGCTAGGTGTGGGGCAGGAGGGTCAACTGAGGGAGGCAGGGTAGAGGATCCGGGTGTGGGGCAGAAGAGTTGGGCTTGGGGCAGAGGGGAAGGGGTGGAAGCACAGACAGGAGCAAGGCATGGAGCAGCCAGCAGGGACAGAGGAATGGGGTGTGAGACAGAGGAGCGGGAGGGGGCGGGCAGAGGGACTAGCTGGGGGGGGGCAGGACAGTGGAG